GGGGTCCTTGGCGGAATTGATTTCAGGCTCGATTTGGCTTTTTTTTTTGTAAAGTGTTTTACGCGCTCGCAACTGCATAAGATCATATGAGCGCGGGGGACACACCTAATATTTTCAGTCGGTAAGAAATTTTAAATTTTGCCCGGATGGCGGCCGAAGCCTACTCTTATCGATTTTAGACCACCAAGGGATCTTTAATGTGCGAGCTTGCACACGGGACCTCCGACATTTTTCGCCCTTGTCCGAGAAGGCTAGGTGTAGATCTTTCCTACCAGAAGATCAGGGGTGTGGCTGAAAGACAGCAGTAAGAAGAAGCGAAGGAGTAGCAGTAGAAAGGCTGCAGATAAAATCAGGAGCCCAGAGGAAGGGGCAAAGAAGGTGAGGGGGTGTTGGCAGAAAGAGGAGACGAAAGCAGACGACAGAACATTGCTAGAGAGCAGGAAATGAGGTGAAAGGAGACAAATTTAGAGAAGAAAATGTTTCGGTCTCTACCCGGATTCGAACCCCGACCTTTAAATGAGAGCCAACACCTTAACCTCTAGGCCACGAGAGCCCCCGATTTGGCGTTGTAGGTGATACAAATTAACTTCATGTGAAAGCATAACCATCACTAAAAAGGTAAAATGTGATATACATGTATGTCAAATTCAAGGAAACTGGATGAGGAATACATTCAGACGAAAACAAAGATTAATTCTGAACGCAAGCGTGCACATAACACTACAGGGGTTAGAATGAGAATGTGTGGTGTCAAGGAGAAAAATACATTTTGACGGGAAAAATACTCTCACTCTCACCAAATTATAAATAATAGGCCAATAGTGAAAGCAAATCAGAATAACAATCTTATTCTAACCACTCCGTTTATTACTTTTGGACTACTTGTCCACCCCCACCCTTTTATTCCTACCCCCCCCCCAATTCGATACCTTCAAGTATTAATAAATTCGATACCTTCAAGTATTACTAGTCTTGCCCAACGACAAATTGTGTTATGCCTATATTAACTGGAACAATTGTGTTATGCCTATATTACCGGGGGCAGATTTTTCATACACTGTAAATTTCACGAATTTGAATTAGTTTTAGCAATTCACCAGGTTAACACAGCGCTTACAGAAAATATAGAAAAAATGGGTGTTTTCTTTCATGAATTCCGTCTTGTTTCCTGCCTCCAGAGCACAAACCATCTTTTATGACATTATAAAATAACCAACTGAGACATCACAATATTTTTGTGCATAATTTCAGTTTATTTTCCTTTATAATTCTTGGTTAAAATTAACAGAATCGCATGTCACATTTTTGGGCGCAGTTTGCTTAATTTCAGAATTTTTCTTGCGTAAAACGACGGGGACAGTTCAACCCGGGCTGAGAGAGATACGACATCTCAGCAGAAAGACGGAAATACAGTGGAACTCGGTTTCAACGAGATGAAATAGATTCCCCGTTTTTATTCTTCTTTAAAATCAATAAAAATAACCCGGATTCAACGAGCACTTAAATCAGCGAGCTCGGATTCAACGAGGTCGCTTCCTCCAGGGTGAACAGCCCCCGCAGACGTGGCTTCGCTTTTTTTTTTCTCCCACAACGAACTTTATCTATTCCCGGAAACCATCCATTGCATCTGCATCGTGAAACATTATACACTTTAGCCGATTGCATGCGACCAACCAGCAGCCTTTTTTCATACCAACATATGCGTTGTTGGCACACGCACGTGTCTATCCTGGTGTGTGTCGGGGTTGGATGGGCGGCCTGCCCACGTTTGGCTGTGTGTGCGTGTCAGGGAGAGGGGGGGGGGGCACTAGCGGTCCGGGCGATGAACGTCGCAGATATAAACACGTCACAATCTGTTTTCTCTCTAGGCAATTGATTATTATTACAATGATAAGCTAGCCTAGTCTTGACGTAGATCTACGTAATGAATTGTGCGCTGGTCTATAGAATTAAAAGTTGCCGTATGCTAGGCTCTTCACAGCATTACAACTTTTTGGTAAACAATCGAGATGACACAGGCGTGTGCATTTGAACGAATCGGTCATTCTTTTTTTTTCTTTTTTGGCACAGCTCATAATAATATGACGGCATTTCAGGCACTGCTCGTGACTTCTCTTTATACATTACTTGCTCAGTGCCTGTAATTATCTACACAAAACCTCATGTTTGCTATAACGAACACTCGGATTCAACGAGGTTTTAGGCCAGGCCCGGCGACCTCGTTGAATCCGAGTTCTACCAGAGAGGTACTGTAAACTCTCTGGTTCTACTGTACTAGACAAAAATTCTCCCTACTCGGGAATCAAAGTCGGGTCTCCTGCGCGCCACAGCAAAGCATCTAACCGGTACACCACAAGCGTCAGTGTGACATCCCATAAACTATTAAAAGTCCAATGGTAGGTTCGAAAAATAATGTATATATTAATATTATGTACGGTTATGACGAGTCAATTTCGTTACCTCTGGGTGGCACCTTCCATTTTTTTCTATTATTTTATCCAGCCCTGAACGTTTAGTGGTCCCGGGCGTTCTTTTTTAGAAGTACAGTAAATAATATTATATTATGTGATACATTTGTTATATTTATTATTCTGTAAAGATAAAATGAGTTCTTATTTGATTTTGAACTTTAGCCCTCTTTTGTGGTTGATTGATTGGGTAGATGTTTTACGGCACTATCTACACAATTACTACCCTCTTTTGTATTCTATCAATACCATATTAGATGTCCAACAACAAGCATAGTTCATTTGGAAATGACACCACGCCAGAAGACCCGCTCTCTGCCCTAAACTCCTAAACTATTGTGGCGTCGGTGGCCTAAAACAAGTGGGTAGGCTCACAGCTGGAAGGTCGTGGATTCAAATCCCGTCAAGGGTCCGACATATCCACAGCTTGAGCCGCATGCTTCCAGTGAGTCCAAGAATGTTTCTGATCTGAGAGTTCTAAGGTCTTTTAGTTTAGTTTTAGTAGAGGTTTTACGGCGCTCGCAACTGCATAAGGTCATATGAGCGCCAGAAGATTAGAGGTGTTGTTACAAACAAGAGAGTAACAAACATAAAAAAGAAGAAGGGGAGATAAGGACGATAGAGATTTGATAGGAAAGAAGAAGCAAACCACACCAGAGCCCTCGCCAACCACCCACTCTGAGAGTGCTTGGGTCTGCTGAAGTAGATCTAACAATAGTTGTACTAGTTGTAAAGCGCATAGAGCATGTTGTAATTGTAGACCATGGATATGCACTATACAAATGCTATTACTATTATATAATATGTATTTGCTGTCACAGGACACTTCAACCCCCTTCCCTTCTCTCTCTCTCTCTCTCTCACACACACATACAGGTGAGCCACGCCGTGAATAAATATTGCTCAGTAACCGTTCAACCCCCCGGGGCGGTGCTACTGACTGAAATGTCTTTAGGCCATTCCCAAAAGGGCATTAAAATCTAGAGTTCTTATGCACAGTAGAATTGTAATTGCAAATGGGCAGATTCATCAATGTCTTTTTTTTATAGTTGAGGGTTTTACGGCGCTCGCAACTGCATAAGGGCATATGAGCGAGCGGGACACACCTAATACTTTTAGTTGGTAGGAAATTTTGAATTTTGCCTGGGTGGCGGCCGAAGCCTACTCTGGTCAATTCTAGACCACTAGGGAATCTTTCACGAGCGCAACTTGCACACGGGCCCTCCGAGATTTTTCGCCCTTGTCCGAGAAGGCTAGGTGTAGATCTTTCCAACCAGAAGATCAGGGGTGTGGCAGAAAGACAGCTGTAAGGAGTCAAGGAGTAGCAGTAGAAAGGCTGCAGAAAGAGTCAGGAGCCCAGAGGAGGGGGCAAAGGAGGCAAGGGGGTGGGGG